TAATATGCCCTACCTGAACAATCACACCAATAACCAGATTAAAAGGGGTTTGGGAAAGATCAAACAAGTGATGGACCAGAAGGACCCCATTAACGATCTCATCAATACGTTGGTGATGTTACAAGAGTGGTATGAGGAGCGGTAAATGAAGGGATTTCGCTGATTGGGAGCTCGTCGATTCTAATTGCTCATTATGCAGCTGACCACGGCTGCTGGCCCTTTAAAGTCGAGCGAGTACGCTTATCGACTCCTAATTGGTGTTCCTACAAACGTCAAAGCGCTGTTACGCTGGGAAACAACACGAACAGTCGTCTAGAGGCCTCGTGGAAGCACATTAAAGAAATCGTAAACTCTTTTATGAGGCTGGACGAATGCATAGCATTCTTGATGTACTACCAATCGCTTGCAGAGAAAGATTTTGTAAATCGAATGTTCAAGATTACGTTTACCCACCATGCCTGATACGACAAAGAATTGCAGTACGTATCAAATTTAGTGAGCGAGCACGCTTGCATTTTAAATTTTAAGCAGTACACATATGCGGTTGGGCGTGCTACATACAGTTTCTACGAAGGAATTCCTGGTGTGATATTTATCAAGAACACGACTCACGACGACGATGCGTTGGACAAACCCAATCAAGAGTAAGTGTGGACACGGGGAATCGGCGACTCGTGTATGTTCATGAGTACACGGCTGCTTTCTTATAGACACGTGCTATACTTGCGCAAAGCATTGAACAAGGAGACTATAATATCGGCTCAGCTACAACCGAGATGGTTGCTGTCAACATTACGAGCGTCATTTACAGGAAATACCCGATAAGGCTTTTCGCATACGACGGATTGTTAGACCCGAGCCAAATGCCTGGGATGCTAATCACAAGTTTCGCGAAGCTAAATAAGGCGCCAACACCATCACGAGTACAATGAGCTGTCTAGGAATGCGTGAGTACCGAGATGCTCTTCGAGTGTTAAATACTGTCGCTGAGCTTTTCAAGCACCGACAGTTTCATGAAATTGATCGCCTAGTTTTAGACACTCAATGTGTTCAGACTCAGCTACAATCTGATGCCCCCCCCCCCCACCTGAGTCGGAGGAGTTCCCGCCGGAGCTCGACCAGCCCCCGCTTGCGTCCGACGAGTTCCCTACTGAGTCTGACGAGTACCCGATTGAGTTCGAACCACTGGAGCTCGAGGAAGTCTCAGCTACGTTGCCAGAACCGATGACTGTGACAGATGAACCGCCGGCGAATCCAATACTTCCCTCGACTGAGGTAAAACAGCCCCCACTGTGCCTGATCTGTGCTCGACTGAGCCTGGAACATCGAGTGCAGTTGTACAGCTGATAAATACTCACAGCACTACAGAACCAGTCGAAACTACGGATGGTTTTGAAATTGCAAGTCCAGTCCGACCCCGTGGTAGGCTAAAGCAGAAAGCATGCCAAGATGAATCGCGAAATCTCCAATGTTCACCACGATTCAAACAGGCATCCCATTAAACTGAATTTATCGGTGCTTTCAGCCCTATTACATGAAGATCACACATTCAATTCTGCAGAGACGACACTCCGACAATACCGCTGTTTATTTTGGAGGGAAAAAAACTAAGCAGCCAATCGCACACCAAAAAGCAAACTATCAGCGAAGAAGACGATGCTAAGAGACGAAGATATATCGCGAATTCTTCCTAAATATATGCTGCGTAAGTGCAGCAAGAAGTTAGCGGCCTTCCAAGGGAAGAACAACGGTCTCGGAGAGGTGGATGTACTTCTTGAAGTGCCAAGTATTGGTGTGTTTACAGCTGGAGCACTGACTACAATGAGGAACTATCACAGAGCGATGGATGCTATTGCTGAGATCGACAAAGCTACTGTCTGGGCTACGACTATTGATTTTGGGACTGAGATCGCCCGTGGTTTCATGTGGAAGAAGATAAACGACTGCTGGAAGGCAAAAAACGCGTCTAGAAGTCAAATGAGGTAAGACATCTACCATATTTTTTATTATTATTTTCTGAAAGCTCTCCACTAATAACCTTATTCGTTAGTTTGAGAAATTAGATCTTGTCGGACGGGAAAATCTTAGCGAATCTACCTTAAGTCTCGTTAAAAAAACTATACTAAGCGAGTGGTGGCGATAACCCCAAATTTGTCTGGGTGGGTTGTGGGAAAGAAAGGTTTCGATGTACGAATCCGACATGAGGATTCAATTGGACAGCTACAACTGCGGGTTATTTCTTTTGCGTGCATTTGAACAGCTCCCAGGTGCGCCACCACTCGGGTGTATAGACAAGAAGCTGCTGATGTATCTGCGCTAAATATATATATTTGCTTGCGGCCTCACTAAATATTTACATTTACCTTCTTTCAGACTTGTAGAAGCTCGCATGCTATGGCACACAAACGCTTACTTGATTTAACTTCGATAACCTTTATCCGGATATACGCTGTCGCGAAAAAAAGGGGTGAAGAAACTGTCTTTTTACCGTCGGTGCAGTCGGGCGTTGGTCGGGTACTTTTGTCTCGCCTCACATCTCCCAGGCGGGTGCAGCAACACGTGCCTTTCTTATAAAGCTTCTGCGGTCTCCACTCCAGCAGCAGCGATTTTGCGTGGTCAACTAACTCTAGCTATCTAACGCAAGCAGCGTTTCCCACGATGAAAACGAAGAGGGCGAATGAGGGATGTTCAATTTTGTAAGTGCTCATTCTGTCTTAAATGTTTGCACTTTACAATTAGCATGCATTGGCTGTTTTGCATGCACTAGAGCAGTGCTTATCACAGTACTTCTCCGGCCCACTGCAAAAGGACGATTTCAGTTTTGGGCAAAAAACCTCTTAAACAAAAGCTAGCTGGTAGACGCAGGGCACACCACGTCATAGCTCTGAGTATGGCGCACAGGAACATATTTTTTAGGTTGTAAGAATGGAAAATATGCGCGTGCACGCTGCGATCAAAAGCGCTGCGTTCAGAAAGGCACTAGTTTTTTTGCCGTAATTCAGTCAAAATTTATCGATCTTACATCGTACTTTAAGAGCGGCTAAGCCGGGCAATTAACAGCAGTTGGACGCAGTTTCAGACGCAGGGACTTACTAGAAGCACTGCGAATTCGATGTGTTTGGGGCGAGGTTTATTCGGAAAGTCGACAGCAATTGTGTAAACAAACTACTTTTATTGACCAATTAGTGATAGCCTAAAAATTACAATGATAATTTCGAGCAATAAAAGCTTCAACTAGCTTCGCATTTACAGTAGGCATACAGCTGACTTTATCCTTTCGTAACCGCATCGGTGTCGACTACAACCGACATTGGCATTCGCGCATTGCGTCCAACATGTTTACTAACGCGCGGAAGCTTGAAATCGCTGCCCCCACCACTAACCATGATAGATTCCATCACTTTCTGCGAAGTGATAAAACACTTGTCAAGTGTTTGCCACCTGAGCTCGTCGAAAGCTTCTTCAACCGCGTAATAAGGCTGTCAGAGTCGTAGGTAGCTTTTTGATACTGTAGAGCTTAAAAAGACGAGACGTATCCCAAATCAAGTACATTAAGGTGACCGAGGCGGCTGACAGCGCATCTTTATCTTCCAGCCATCAACCATCCCCGCATATTCTAGCTGAGCATCACCTTCTAAACGTGAGGCCCTGCACTGTCCTGCTGGACGACCACGGTCGAGCCTGCGAGCTAAAACTATAATAATAATTGAGTTGCAACAATAAAAATATAACAATTGAAAAAATACCTGGAAGTTTGGATCGAATTGCTGGAAATACTTTTTCGACAAGTAGCTCGCGGTAAAGAGCTCGTGTCATAGACACACTCTTCGTAATTAGCAAACCTTTTGGACGATTAACGGAGCTACGAACCACCTCGACCTTTTTAACAATAGGCCAAATGCCAATCTTTTCATCAAAGTACCGTTTCTTGTGAAAGTCGTAGCGCGGGCGCGCGACAGCAGCTAAGAACATGATGCTATCTATGTATCTCTTGTTTGCACATGATCGATAAAGCAGTTGGTCATTGGCTGTCAGGTAATATCTTGTGGCCCAGGTTAAACCACTTTTCATCTACATGCACAGTATTGTATATGTGATGCATGCGGTACATTCGGGCAACTGAGTCAAAACAATATGAACAAGATAATTAATGTCTATAGCAATAAAAAAGGTTGAGTAATAATATTTTTTGAGATGTTACAGTACCTAATGCCATCTCGACATGCGATAAACCCCATTGTAGTCGTTTTGTCTTGTGAGCATCAGTCAGAGTAGGTTTAACACGAGAAGATGCGCGACGTAGAGTCCCATCAGCAAGATACCGCTGTAGCGTAGTGCGTGCTATACCAGATGCAGCCGCCAGTGCTCGCTGGGTTTGCCTCTGACAAAGCGGCACCCCTTGGACGAGCTCGATAACTTCTTGCACGGACAGGTGCCTTCCGCGCTTGGGTTGCACTCGCTTCTGGGCGGATATAAAGCTAACCTTTTGGCGCGACTTTCAGATTTCTTGACGCTGTTGCGACACATATCAAAAGCCTCCATAGCTGCACAAACTGCTCCGCGGAGCAGTTTACCGTGGACGCTCCGTTCAGCAAGGAAATCGACCACATTGAGGCGAGTTTCAGGCGCAATGTCTTGTTTTCAGGAGTTCTGGGCATCGTGCTCAAAACCACAACGCGCTAGGCCAACCATAATTTTAGTGGCCCGCAGCCAGAGTCCCTTTTATCCAATAGAAATATATTATTCAGCTACGTGCGATAATAAAAAAAAACAATACCGGAGAAGTATTTCTAACTTTTCGAAATTACCCAATAAACCGGATATTTGAAATCACTTGTTTAATAAGCCCAAAGCCCCAGAATTCCAAATTCCTTTTTGCGGCAAACGCCAAAACGCCATCGCCATTCATTCCGCTAGCGTTATGGGTTCTGGTCGCTCGCGCAAGGGCGCCAAGGCGTCCGCTTCTGTGTCGTCCACGATCTCTACATGTCACGAAAATGATGATCTTTTTGTTTCTCAGGGCTCGTCGAATTCTGCGCAGTCGGAACATCCCACGAGTCCGGAGATCCTGCTCAAGGTAAACCAGAAGTTCGCGCGGGCCTTCGAGGAGCGCAAGCGCAAGGAAGAACTCGCGATGTTGGAGAAGCGCGGGATTAACGCGGGTGATGATGACGACGAGTCCGACTCAGAGACGGAGGACGAGGATGGCGAGGAGCTCACGAAGGAGCTGGACGCCGACATCAGCAAGACACTTAGGCTCATCCGCAAGAGGGACCCTGCCATCTACGACTCGTCCATCGCTTTCTTTAAGAAAGTAGAGGCGGACAGCGACAGTGAGGAGGAGGAAGAAAAGAAGAGCAAGAAGAAGAAAGGATCGGCGCCGGTGTACTACAAGGATTTAGTGCGCCAGCAGGTGATGACAGGTGATGTTAGTGGCAGCGAAGAGGAGGAGGAGGAAGACGGCGAATATGTGCAAACGTATGCTGAGCAGCAGGTGCAGATCAAGAAGGATTTCCTGGCCTCGCTGAAGGAAAATGACGAGGATTGCAGTGATGAAGATAAAGTAGAGGAAGCCAATCTGGATGGTGGGCTCTTCACGGTCAGAAAGAAGACTGAAGGGGAACAGAAACAGGAGGATGAAGACTATGCGGAGTTTACATCCAAGTACGGTACGACGCTAAAAAAGGACGAGGTGGACTCGGAGAAGTTCCTTGCGCATTATTTGAGCAGTGAAGGCTGGAAGGACAAGACTGTGGCTGTCCCGCATTATGAAGACATCGTGAAAGAGGACGAGGAGGATGCCGAGGAGTTGGAGAAGGCTGAAGAGTTTGAGCACACCTACAATTTCCGTTTCGAGGAGCAAGGAAGTAGTGTAATCCAGACCCACTCCCGTCGTATTGACGATACAAATGCGTCGTGAGGACGACTCGCGAAAGCGTAAACGAGCTGAGCGGAAAGGAGCGCAAGGCGCTTGAGCGTCAGAAAAAAGAGGAGGAACTGCGTCATCTGAAGAACCTCAAGCAGGCAGAGATTGAACAAAAGCTGAAGAAGGTGGCTCGCCTCATGGGTGAAGCTGAAGGCACGGCTGGCCTGAAGCCAGAGGACTTGGAAGGTGATTTCGACCCCGAAGAGTATGATAAGCGAATGCAAGCGGTATTTGACGAGCAGTACTACGATGAGAACGACGACGATATGGAGAAGCCTACCTGGGACGAGGAGGAGGATAAAGAGCTGTTCGGTGGTCTTCCTGTCGATCCGGATGAGGAGATGGATGCAGAAGAGAGTGGCGAAAAGGCTAGTGACACATCTGGGGAAGGGGATAACGAGGAGGAGCAGGAACAGGATGGAGACGGCGAAGAAGAAGGCGAAGACGTGGAAGAGGAGGCATCGCCTGAGAAGATGAAAATCGAGGAAATGCAGCATGAGAAGCAGAAGTATATGGACGAGCTGTACAGCCTGGATTACGAAGATCTGATTGGGGACATTAAGTGTCGCTTCAAGTACCGTCAGGTTCAGAACAACGATTTTGGTCTGACGGTGGATGAGATCATGGCAGCTGACGACAAGGAGCTTAAGCAGCTCGTGTCTCTCAAGCGCATGGCACCGTATGCCGACATTGAATACACTGTGGATCGCAAGCGGCTTAAAACGTTCAAGAAAAGCATCAGGGAATCCCAGGAAGATAACCGCAGACGCAAGAATAACGAGGAAAAAACTGGAGCTAATGAACTGCAAGAGGCAGAGCAGCCAAAGAAAAAGCGGAAACGTGATAAGAAGACGAAGCTGGTGAAGGACGAAGAGGAGGCAACGCCTGACGATGAGGTGGCGGATCAAGAGGATGTGAAGCTGAAGGGCAAGAATGCAGAGAAAGAGGAACTGTCCGTGGAGAAGGCTTCAGGTGAACCCGAAACGAAGAAGAAACGTCGCAGCAAGAAGAAGAAGACCAGCGAGATGAACGCGTACGCATCTACAGGTCTGCCGACTTCTCGACTTGAGTCGTACAAGCTGGTCAAGCCTAGTAAGAAGTAGCAATCGTCATGGTTATTTACTTCCCAATAGACGATTCATGGCTATGACAACTACACGTCTTCTGGTACGCTCGAGTCCACAAATAGGTATGCAATATTACTGCTGTCCACCAACTTCTCTTCTTCTTCTTGGCAACAAGTCCTTCCCATTCGCAATGGCAGCGTTACCATCGGTCGCGCCGAAATCGCCCACAGCCTCCAAGGCCACTACTGCGTATCAAAGACGAAGGTCAAGACACTCTCGACTTTCTCGCCGCACAACAGCAGCATGGGCTGCAAACAGAGAGGAAACAGGTTCGTCGACTTCTCAATTAGAAGCGAGCAAATGGAGTGCACTACGTCTTGAGATTCTGCCCAATCCAGCGCTTATGACTGTCAGTGCAAAAGTTCAGCGCATTATCGAGTAAGTTGCAAAATATAAACTTTAGTCGTGCAAGTGTTGACCTGCTTAGTACTCATCTGTAGCATGCTAAAGAAGCCTCCAGAAGACCGCTCAGAGAATGATATCCTCCCCCCGTGTTACTGCCACTACGTATCCACGCCTGTGCAATTATTGCACGTTTCCTTGACCAATTCACCACTTCCTTGCCATAGTCAGCAGGAGCGAGCATAAACTACGGAAATAAGGTTGTAACACTGACGCCTGGTGCAACTTTTGGAGAGCTCTGCCTCATTGAGCCCGACTCCAAACGCAGTGCTACAGTTGTGGTTGATCAACAGGCGCAAATGGCCAACTTCATCGTGCTCACAGCTGCCTCCTACCTGCGTATGACGCGCAGCCAAACGATCGAAGTAGCTTTTCGCTCAAATAAACGCTCACTTGGTTTGTCCGGAAACTATCTAACCTCGTTTTATTATGTCAGGGAACTATTACCGACAACATCGCCTTCTTGCAGCATTTGCTTATTTTCAAAAACTGGAGCAAGATGCGTATGTCCACGCTGTAAATCTGGTTTGCTATCGCTCATTGACTCGTAAATGTGCGGGTGTTTTTGATTTACATGTAGAGCTCATGCACATTGTAAATTCTATGAAGTTTGTCAATGTGTCAGCTGGAGTACGTGTTTCAACGCATTCACTTCGTTTCAACCTGTCAACTCATTCTTCTCTATTTCACTCAGCAATACTTGGCGCGCAAAGGTGGCGAGGCAGACTCCTTCTTTGTATTTTTGCGTGGGGAAGCTATTGAGAGTGTCAGCCTTACAGTCAGTGAGAATTCCGAGATGAGGTAAGCCGTGCTTCGGCTAACTGTGTGATGTGGAGCATCTAAAAGCCTCTTACTTCAGTATGGGAGAGGTACGCGGCGTACACCGTAGTATCACTGTCGAACTCACTTTTCTGGGCAAGTTTGACGTGGCCGGTGAATATATCGAGTCCGAGAAAAAAATATCCTTTTGCCCTGTGGACATTCGCGCTACTACTGACGTGTGCTTACAGTAAGGACTCGTTGTTGCTTGGTTTAAGGTTCAACCAGGTAAACAAACTAACTTCTACTGTGCTCATTTGAACCAGAGAAAATTGTTCATGCTTCATTTTGGTGGTAAGGAATTAAAGCCACACGTAGTTCCAACACGGAGACGGCTTCGTATGATTGCTGTGGCTCGAGAGGCTTGGCGCGAGACGCGAATTTTACAGGCATTGCAATATCCGACTCTGCGATTCCCATTACCCGCAAGCTTATGCGACTAAGTGGAAACTGTTGCTTGATCTGTGGGCGACACATGCATATTGCGGGTGATCCATTGTGCATGGAGCTACCATCTTACTTTATGCTCGATGAGAAGCAGAAAATGCGCGAGCAGAAGGAAAGAGGCCGCACAGCGAGTAATCATCGCCTCAGTGTCGTTTCTCCACCTTCTTCCGGTATGGATGGTTCAAGCCCAGCTAGGACGCCGACAATGACAACGAGTCCACATCAAATAGATTTGCCATCACTGCGCGAGAATGATCACGAAGACCATAACGACCTTCGGAGTCCAATACGCGTTGGTGTGCAACTTGTCAGTCGACAGAGGCTACTTGAGGGTGCACTTGACCTGACATAATTGCCGCGCACATTAAATTCTCGAGTTTGGTTACACCTTGAAATTATATGCACAGACAACGCCTTCAGGAAAGCGGGCTGCACCGCTAGTAGCGACTTCAGTCACACGCTCGTCCCATATTACTCATCGTCAGGAGGAGGAACAACAACATCATGCGCTAAAAGACCGCCACCTCAGAGGCCGCAGTATCCAAAAAGAGCTACAGCACATCCGAGATACCTGGCTGAATTGCCGGGATAATGACGATATGCAGCCGCGATCACGATCACAATATCCATTGTCGTCACCCAGACCTCGATCTGACCAGCAAACCAGAAGCCTGTCGGCTCAAACCTGAGTTGTCTGAAGAAATCTGAAGACGTAACGTAAAGTCGCGATTGCCATAATGAGGGATGCCTACAGGGCATGCGAAGGTAAGCAAAGAACGCAAGACCGGAAATTCTTTAACATGGGGTATTCTGAATCCACACAGCCCTCCAAGCCCAGACAGCTACCAATGAAGCCCCTCATCATTCTTTCCACGTATCCTGCTCATGCGGTAAACAAGTGGCAGGAGGAAGCGAGGCAGACACGCATACACTTCAGGATAACATATACACCGCAAATGGTTGGGCGCTGCACCGCCCAGCCCACCAACCACCGCCAATCGTGTCCACTGATTCCACCTTTTATCACATCGCTGTACTTTTAAAACGCAACTTCCTTGGTGCCTGCCGGCGGCGCGCTAGCTTCTTCGTCTGTTGACTGGGAGACAGATCCATTTGTTGGAGGTCGGCGAGCCGCCACGTGCGTAGCTTTAAATTCCATCAGGTCTTCCTGGTACTCTTCCGACTGCATATATTGGGTCACCGTCTCGCCCAACACATTGAGCACCTCTACCTGTTTGTGGTCGATGTTGTCACGAGCGTAACGATCTGCCACACACAGATCACCTACTACTTCACCGTTGACAAGCAACGGAATACCGACGAAGAACTGCAACTTCGCGGTGAAGCGTTTCTCGCCTGAAATTCGCTTGTCCGAGCTCACGTCGAGCACAATGCACGGCTTGCCACGGGTTGCTAGTCGTCGAAAAGTCGGCAGGCTTCGAGGGAGGCCTGGTCCCGGCTTACCGTCATAATACCTCACGAGCTCAAAGTCTTCGGTGCGAATGCCTGCCATGGGACATGTCAATGTCTCCATAGCTAACATGCAGATCTCCTCCATGTCCTCGTTGAAATAATGGATACGACGATCCGAGTTCTTCTTACGGCTGGTAGCAATACTAGCATTGGACGCGGTTCTACCCATGGAACCAATCGGCCTACCTTCGTAACCCGTCCCTCTCCCTTGGCTTGAAGTTGATGAAGTTTGTCTGTGGAGAGGAGGCGGGCTGCTACCTCCATCTTCACTCATTTGCGTAGTCGCGTCAAAGTCATTTAACGATAAGGCGGACCCGTTGTTGTACTGCATCGTTGGAGGAGTCGACGAGGCTGGATTTTCGTTAGGTGGGCTGTACGACTCATCCGAAGTCAGCGAGCTCGTACTACTGATGCTAGTACCAACGCCCATGCCATGCGGAAGTGGTGTCATACCAGTGCCGCCGTTCATCTCTAGCTCCGTGCCGTTGCTGCTGACCATTCGAGACGACGGGTTCGAAAATCCGCCAATCAAAGTGCTTCCAAAGTTCGCGTTCCCCGCACCGTTTGAGCTACCACTCTTCGCCAAGCATGCCTTACAAACACGCACTTTCGCCGCCACATCCTGATCCCCCTTGACCATCTTAAACACGGTGCAAGCCGAGCATACCACTTCACCGCATACTCGACAGTGGTGACGTCGCTTTAACATTCCAAACGACTGTACACAAAGCGAGCAATTGGTGCGCTGGGCGTCATTCACCCATTCCTGTCGTTGCGCAAGCGCCGCAGGAGCGAACAGTGCCTGTTGCACCGCTTTTTGCATACCCGACAGGTCTCCCGCAAGTCTCAGAGAAGTGAGTCGAACTCCAGCAGAAACACTTTCTCCTCCTCGCGCTTTACGCATCGCAAACGTCAGCGTGACGTTGCACATGTTTGGATCTTCTGGGGTCTGATGTACCACGTAGGAGCTCGGCTCAAACACTGTCAAGCTGTAAGCATCCGGCTTACCTCGGATGCCGTAGCGTGCCGCCGCACCGTCATACGACTCGAACTTAAGCACACCCACATTACCGTGTACCGGATGGTTGGGCAGCAGGACACAATATTCTCGGATGCAGAACTCCTTGGAGCGCCCAAGAGTCTTGGGAGACGAGTATACGAGCCACTTCAGCGTCATTGACTCGATGGAGGCCCCGTTGTGAACTGTCCCGGCGTCTGCCTGGTGCGCGTGCAATACCTCTCCGTCCAAGAAGTTGCGTGAGTGAAGTAGCTTTTGGAAGCCCTTCAAGCTCGTGTTGTCCACGGCGCGCAGACACTCAAGTACGTCAGGCACAGAGCCTGCAACTTTGGCGACGGCGCGCACGGAGTAGGAGAGCCTCTCACTGTTCTTGGAGTGCAGGTATACCATTGCATTGTCCTTGCGGTTCTCAATAGCCCAGACGCTCATGTCCGAGGCGCTGCGCACAAGTTCGTCCACCTCGGCACGTTCCGAAAGGTACAGCGCATCCAGATCCACGTCTGCTGGCCACTGCGAGGCTACTGTGGGCCCGCGAGCATACTCAGGCGAGCCTGGACCGCCGTTGGGGGCGTCACCGTTCATCGTTCTGTTGATTGTTCAAAGTAACAATTAGAAACTGGGGGGACGAACTGGCTGCGGGACGACCTGCACAAAATTATTTTAAGAGACACAGATTCGGCTTTTATCCATGGGGGGGCAGATTTCGTCCGCGAGACATAAATTCGTATAAATTTCGTCCACCGCACCGAAAATTGTGGCCTCAACGGCAGCTAATTTCTGCCAATCATATAGCGGAACAGTAAATTCGCATTTTGGGAAGTCAGAATTTAAAAAAACTCCTAGAGAATTTTTTCTTTACGAAATTTTCTTAAAACTCTGACTACCCCTAATCAAGCTGAAAATGCAAACTATTTAATAGTACGAAAAATATCGCGACTTATTAATAGAGCATCCAACAGGTTTTAACTGCTTCAGTCTTAACAGCGGGTTTTACTTTTTGAAGTTCTAAAGTACACCGCTCACGCTTATTAGTCATACCCTGACTAATTGTGGTGTACAGATTAACCCCCTTATTTTTCAGCTGTCCACTTTGTAAAAACTACCAGCCTTATTTTTAAACCAAGCATACTGGAGCAAAGAGCTCTGTGAGACCTGCTCAGAACCGGTCTTTACCTTTAGATTTGATCATCTTTGTCATATATCCCGAATTTGTGATGTCACTTGAGTGCAAATCCAGAACTAATTGCAAATAATTAGCGTGAAATTCAAGTCTAAAGATAAGACTCCAGTTTTAACAGATTACGTGACCCACTTACTTCAACAAACGCGGGAAACGTCGCAGATTGCAATGAATTTCTGAGGAAGGGGTCTGAATGGAGCGACGACGATACGACTCAGCTGTGCAAGGCATGAATAGACACCTCACAAGACCCAATACGCGGTGTCGGTCAGAAGAAGACTACGTTCTACATGAGGATGTACCAACTTTGGCTTCAAATTAAAAGCAAAGAATCGGATGATGGGTCTGAGCTCGCCGTCGCTGGCAGATGGAAGAAACTGCACCCCACCGTGACAAAGCTTAAAGGAATTTACTTAAAGGTGAAAAGTAGAAAACGCTCTGGATGGGGAACGGCGTTACCGCAGCCATCCAACGACAACACAACAAGAAATAGTGCAACCATATCGCCTAAAGCAACCTCAAAACATCTGTTTGTCCTGGTATTTTATTATTTGTTGCACTACCACGTCGCCATCGTCATCAATTCAGCGGTAAATTACGAGGCATAACATGCTCAAAGTCTAAAAATAGAGATATGTACACAGCACTACATGCGAGTACACCACACATTTCTCACACTTCGATATACAGGCTTCACGACGATGGATAAAAGATCGCTGTCCAGCGAACTGATACGCGCACGGCGAGAAGAGCTCACGGACACAAAGCGCAAGCTGGAGGAGATCGGGGAGATACTGGAGCAAATACTGAGAGTACAGATGGAGTTAATGGCTCGAATTGAAGAGAACAAGGAAGGCCTATACGCTTTGGATTATGACTTGGATGGTGTGGGCATCGGTCAAGACGGAGTTATGTCTTTTGGAGTGCTGCTAGAGATGGCAATTAATCGGTTAAGAAATTAGTCAACGATATGTAGCTGTATTAATTGTGAATACAAATTCACATGGCTATTTTAGCTCATCCTGAAGTCTCTGATGAATTTTTGCTGCCGTGTCCGCATCTGCCTTCGACATTCGTCGCTTGCGGGATTGTACAAGCAGTAACCACAGCATCCTCAAGCGCATTACGTCGACATCTGACTTGCTGATCTTGTAGCAATGCAGGTCTGCATTTCCTGCAATAACGCTGTGTGCATGTGCAATTACCAAGGCACCACAGCTAAAGTTATCAGGTTGTTGCGGGGCGTCCACCCACGAAACTGGGTGGATCTTCATAACACAGCCAGGATTGGAGGACTCGTTCCAGCGCTCAATAAATCCTCGCAGCCCTTCCTTGTTGTTACGCTTACTTCCCTCCCAAACTGTCTCCATTTCACCGTGATAGCAATTATTAATGACAGGTTCGTACATGTGAGGTCGTGCGTGGATCTGGCCGTCTGAAACCCCAAAATTAGCAATTATAATGCCCCTATGGCTAGCGCTCAAATTGACGGGATGTACGACAAACTTTATGTCGCGAAGCTGAACCCGCGGTGTCGCCGGCCAGCCAATCTGCCATAGAAGCGATGACAACACGCGACAGCCCTCCGTGGACGCAGCAATTTCACTCAAGCAGAAGTCGATCGAGCTGTCCGAGAGCCACCCTCGAAAAACACTTCCAACCACGTCTTCGAAGCAAATGGTGACCTTGCCACACTTAGTGGCATACTCGCTGCGAAGACGGCAGTCTGAAAACTTTGAAATTACTTCATTGGCGAGGACTTGATGTCGATTTCGAACGGCCTCTCGTGTAACACCCCAAGTTTTTGTTTCCTTTGCGAAAAGATCAACATCCGAGTCCACCTTAATCCAATTTCTCTCCAGCCACTTTCGATCTTCGACCCAAGACTTGGCCTTGGCCTTCACTCTGTAGAAAACACTTGCTGCATTTACATATCGACTGTAATCGAAGTAGCAACCACATTAGTAAAGCAACCCTGTATCGCAACCATAAAGATAAAACAACCCTGTATAGCAACCATAACGATAAAGCAACCGTACCTGCAGAACTTCCAGAGCTTTGAGTCAATTGTTGCAACAATGTCGAGAACAACACCTTTCTGTGACACAGTTGAGTCGAGTTTGTCGGGCTCGCGCTGCTCCTTCCGTGCAGTACATATTGCAGCCTCCATTGACCGTGTAAGATCCACGGGAATTACAAAAGGGTGCATGTTGTCCTCAGACCTCATAGCTTCCCAATGGCACTCAATCACTCGCGATCGTAGATAGGCATCCGTCAGTTGCACTGGGTATTTTTGCATGATAGCCAGGATGTTCTTCATGTTTGGTGTATTGCGGGCCCACGTCACAAATTCGTGCAGCTTCACTGTGAGCCCGCTGGGATAATTGTGTACCGCTAGCCGCGATACACCTGGGGAAATCTTTGATTGGCGTAGCTGTGTCGGCGTGGTACGCGACAGATTTCGGCGCATCGGTTTTGGAACATTGATAACGTCTACTTGACGAGTTGTCTCTCCTTCGTCTCGAACATCACCCGTCTCGTTCTTTTTGGAGCCAGAAGTCGGCTCACCAAAGCTAGTGGCACGAGGTGGAGTTGGTGACTTCACCTTTTGCTCTTTTGCGAGTTGTGTTGGAGGGACGTCATCACCACTGTTGATACTATCCATGGCGCCATCCTGGCTGTCCATTTGCAGATTTTCCATCAGTTTGACAGTTGCCATTGCGTCTGCTGGATCTAGAATAGAACTCAAATCATCATCGAGATCTTCAACTTCTTCAGCTTCTCCATTTTAGAGATCGGCAAACACAGCACTATTTTTCGTACGTGATTTGCCAAGGCGCAGTCAGTCTTCTAATGTGTTTCTCCACGGCTGTTTCGTCATAAAAGTTTGCGTTGCTCAAGTCGGCTAGATGTCCCAGCAGCGGCTCAACCATTGCCTTTGCAAGCGAATACTTCTCGCCTGAAGAAAGAACAACCTTGTTGGCACGCTCCCGTCGTCGCAGGCGAACATACACAACTTGTTTCGGTGACGTCTTCGGCGCTGACGAGGTAGAAAGGTCAACACAAGGTTCATCGGGCAACCTTAACTTTGGCAACCTTAACTTCGACATCAGCACGATTGAACTCAGAGTATCAGCAGCGGCCGTAAATGCTTCGGTAGATTTCAACGCTGTCATTGTACTCCACCGTTCGCAAATTGTTATAACAGGAAGCATCTCGAATCCATGTCCTTTGTGCGCTACGTGCATGAGATGCCGACACGGCAAGTGGTTGGTAGTTGAAAACAGACAGGTGCACTTCCAGTCCACGTCATCGCACTCAAATCCTTGGTTGTGACAGTATACGTTCCATTTCGAAACCGATAATGTCTGTACACATGTTGTTTCCTTCATCAGATTCACAAATTGCTCCCATTCCCGCCTAATTGTCTCCAAAACATACGCTGATATTCTGCCCCCAACTGCTCTTAAAAACGTCGGCACCGACTTAGGCCTCCGTGTACTCGAGTGCAGCTGCCCGATCTCCGAGACAATCTGCGTGTAGTCATCTGGTGCTGCAGCAATCCAGCGATGGTCTGGTCAATTCTTGTTTTACGCCCGAGCAGCATCTTGAGCTGGTTCCAATTAGATTCGATCCTGTTGGTAGTTGTATTGCCAGCAGTAAAATGTTTACCACGTGCAAAATTGGACCACATGTCATTGCATGCGTTCCAGTTCTTGTCAAAATACGCAAAGAAAGCGAGTTTCTTGTTACTTTGGCAGTACGATTGAAGGTTCTTGTAGTAAGTGTGGTATGCATCCTGCGTTGAGCTAAGATAACAATTAGTTCAGAAAGTAAGACAAGATATGTGTATCGAAAGAACCGTGGCGACATACCTGAAAAGCTGTTCCACCATCAAGGCAAGTAGCTCTTCACTCTGCGCAGTCTTAATTCCGTAGACAGACCTCTTCATAATCTTCTTCCAGTAGGAGATTGCGTGGAGCTGGCAAAGGAGAATTTTCGCGTTGGGGAAGGACTCTTCAAGTACCTTCCATTCAGTGAAGTCTTTATCAATGACCACGCTCACGACTTGATCCCAACACGAATTCTTCTCCTTGAAGTACTCCAAAATCGTGGAGATCGTCTTTGCTTGCTCACTGAGGCAAATGAAATCAACCACAGGGAAGCCACGACCCGTGCATGTGGTGACAACCAAACTCCCTACCAGCAAGGAAATACATGATGATCAGCAAGGTTGCGATAGCGAATAAGGTTGCCACAACGGCTACTGTATCAATTAAGGTTGCTACAGGGGGTTGCTATATCAGGTAAGGTTGCTGTGTCAAACGTACCCAGATGATAGCCCAGGTTATTCGTTCCATGCGTAAAGTCCATTGCCAACGTTTCCCCCCACCTCTCAAAC